GGCATCTGGTTCGGGAATGGTGGGAAATCACCGACGTCGGAGCTTGGATCGTCTCTTCTCGTCGACTAAAATCTGGTTCCCGCGACTGTTCTCCGTCCGAGAAGGCGAATCACCGAATCACGAGGCCTCCGGCGATGGCAACCGGCGACAATGAGCGAGCGAATGAACAACAAAGAGGGGGAAGAGATTTGCCCGGTCGTCGTTCATACGAACAACGGGACCGAGACGCTCTCCTCTTGAACACCCCCCCTTTCTCTTCCCGATTCTTCTCTGCCTTCCCCTCCCGATTCCCTCAATCCTCTTTCCTTTCTTTTCTAAACCAGCTCTCCCCCTCTTCATTCTTTTTCCCCCGCTCACCTCACTCCAAAGGAAAGTACCCGCCTGCCAGACTCCGCTCGACCTTGCGGCGCACTGCTCTGTCCTGGCCGTTTTGTCCTTCGTACCTTCTTCGTCGGCCGTTTCTGCCTTCGTCGCTTCCGTTTCTTGTCTTCGTCGCTTCTGTGAACGAGCGTGAGAGAGAGGAGAGGGGGGGTGAAGACAGAATAGGGGCTGGGCTAAAAAGAGACAGGGCAAAAAGGGCTCGGGCCCGGGCCAAATTGAGAAAAGAAAGAGAAAGAAAAAGGGCTTAGGCCCAATTGGAAGAGATAAGAGAGGGGAGGAAAAGGGCCCGTTCGGTCGTACCGGGTTGAACCGGCCCGATTTTTTTTAAACACATTTTCTAATAATTTTACTATTTCACCTTATTGTCCATTTTCACATTATCTTAGTGCATTTACCTTTTAAGCACCGATTTATCGAACTGGCAAAAATCACGTGTCAACAACCCAGAAAAAAAAGGCACAATACTGATATTTTTCGTAAGCATGAGGATTGAGGGAGTGGACTCCGCGTTGAGTTAGATTGGTCTCACAGATGGACTCTAGTGGAATCCACCTTATCTAAGGACTGAGGTGCATTGATTCACATTCATTCAATGCATCCAAGTATGGCTTCAATACGTTGGAACGATGCTCTTGCGCTTTGCAGACTTGTAGGGAAGAAAGGATTGCCCTATTCGTAGTAAGAATGTCTTATTGTATAAGTAGTGCCTCAATGGAAAAATCTTCTTTCACAAGGACAGGGAGTGCAAAATAGTCATTGATACTATTCCCAATGCTTTGGGATGAAACGTTATAGGATGGCAATTAAGTTCAAGTCATTCTTTTTTCCGAGCTGTAGCTCCAAATACCAAGGTCATGTCAAATTCTTGTGGTGTCCAATCAAAGTGGTAGAGCAATTGAGCAAGTGGAAGTTCAATTTTGGCAAAACCAAACTAAATTGGCCAAATAAAAATGTTTAAAATAGAATTGACGTATGTACAATAATTTTAGGACTTTTTTGGTGATTATTCCACATTAATTATCTCAGGTTAATCACAATGAAGTATTGCTTTTCTCGTTCTCAAGTTTGATTAATCGTGCCGTTCCAGACCAACTATTGTAGCAACTCTGACAAAGTCTTCAGTTGATATGCTTCTTTGCTTTGAACTAATAGTAACAAGTCATATATGAAACTCTCCCCTTTTCATTGCATATTCTCTCATAATTCTTGGTAGGTTATTGGGCGATGAAGCGATACTTAGTCAAAGCGGTTTATGATTACCTATTGTACAAATTACGCATGAACATGATAAAGATGCAAAAATTAAATCCCAATCTAAACCATTGCCTCCTCTGTCCCTTCCTCCGTTTCTTTCACCCTCGTCTATTACGTTGTTGTTTAGTGTACCAGTTTCGTAAATTGATTTTAAAGTACCAGACACCGTTCGGTATTAATAATTATAGATCAATGAACTTGGCTTAAAACAGGGTCTGATCACGGGCTTTGCGGCCCGCCTAGGCCCGAAGCACAAATTTGGCAGGTCTTGGTATGTAATTTCTCCCTCAACAGAGGTGTATAGCAGCCTGGATTCAATTAAATGCTCTGGATTTAGCTACAGGCCAATGCCAATTATGGCTCGAATACTATCCACAACCTTCAAACGGGAAGACAAAGCAAAATCATGAACCGCCCTGATTGTAAATCTTCTTAGCAGAGGTCCTCTGACATGCTAATCGTCTGCAACTACAGATAGATAATGAACGTATATATGTATAATTTTGTATTACAAGCTCTTTTAACCAATACATACGATAAATAGGAATATGTTTATTTATCTTCTATATTAAATAAATAATTGCCTTTTACTAAACTTAAATAATTAATTAGAAATGGCCTATTTATATATTACATGAATCACTTCAACAACTCAAGATATGGACCGCTCGACTCTTCTATTCCAGATAGCACCTCCAACGGTGGACTATAAAAGAATAAATCGAAGTCTTAAGAGTCGCAATTGTCCTCCTAATTTCCAAGTCATTCTTTATATTTCTTTTCAACTTTGTTTGGGTCTTACCGCCCTGGGATGTGCTTCAGGTGCTATCTGCAGCTCCTCAAATATTCCAAAAAAGTAGCTTTCCAATTGCAAATGAGTTACTAACTAAGGATGTTATTTTATGAGCTATGGACAGAGATGTCTCTTGACTTTGAATTCTTGCGCTCCAAAGAACACGCTAACCGAAAAGAAGAAGAAGAAGCATGATACATAAGGTCAGCGACACGGTTTCTTTCACAAATGAAAGTTAAAATAGAAATATATAATATAGAAATCGACTTGGTTGTTGTAAAATTTTATGGAATCACCGTCAACTGCTTCTATTCTGATACCATGTAAAAATTCGTAAAGTTACTACTAATTGTTCTAAAATTTTAAGCTGTCAGTTGAATGCCTGAGCGGCCCGCAAAGCTAATGATCAAATCCTGTTATAAGAAATAGGAATGTATGTTTCTTTATCTTTCATATTAAAAAAGTTCACGTTTTTGTAGCCTTTTTATGAGGCGATATATATAATTAAATGATTGTTTATCATTCAACACGTATACTCAAATAGTAATGACAAAAGGGATGCAGAGTGAAGACTGATTGGGCCAAACGTCAAAGTCATCTCTTTAGGCGAAAATGAGAGAGTTCGAACTTCACATCTCTTCGTTTGAAGATGTTCTTACATTGGGAGGTCCATCAAATTGTTCACTAAGATGGTTTGGTTACAACTTCTTATCAAACCGCAACACACCAGTCTGACAGCATGAATTGTCAACTATCGAGGCTGAATTGTACTTATAACTATCTTCCTAAATCGCTCAGCAATGGCAACTCGCGTGCAAATGGGCAGTAGTGAAGGAGAATTTGATATCTAACTTGCATGATCAGACTTCCCTTCAAATATAGGCCGACTAGTTGTACTACATTAATTATCTTGAGCTTAATCTTGACAAAGGATCATTTTTTTAGATCTCGAGTCGGGTTAATGTGGCCATTCCGGACCGGCTATAATAGCGGTTGTGACACAATCTCGACCCTTTTCCAGTTGACGTGCTTCTTTGCTTCGTACTAATCGTAATGAGTCATCTAAAGCTCTCCCCTTTTTCATTGCATACACTCTCATAATTCTTGTTAAGTTACTGTACTATGAAGCATATTTAGTCGGAGCGGTTTATGGTAACCTAGTGTACTCTGACCTAAAAAAAAAAAAAACCTAGTGTACAAATTAAGCATAAACATGATAAAGATGCAAAAATTAAACCCCAATCTAAACCATTGCCTCCTCTGTCCCTTTCTCCATTTCTTTCCCCCTCTACTATAACGTTGTTGTTCAGAGGACCAGTTTTCTAAACCAGTTTGTAAAGTACTCGACACTTTTCGGTATTAGTATCTGTAGATCAATGAATTCGGTTTAAAATGGGATCTGATCACGGGCTTTGCGGCCCGCCCAAGCCCGAAGCACAAATTGGGTGGGTCTAGGCATGTAATTTCTCTCGGGCTCGACACATCCAACCCGGCCCGCCAAGCTCATGCAGGCCCGATCATTTCATCAAGAAAATTAATAGTTTTCCAATCACGGGCAAGGTTTTAGGTCCTATGCCGGCCCACCCATTATTCATGTCTAGTCCAAAACCAGAATCTCAATTCGAATATATTTGGATTTTCATTTCGAGACCCGTTTACATCACCAAGCCCAAAAGACGAAATTCTCTCTCCTCGACTGAGTAGCACGACAGAGATCTCCCTCACCGGAATCACATGCAACGGAGCTCAGGGGATTCACGTATGGAAGGATTAGGAAACAGAGAAGCACAAATAAAAGCTCGGATTCAATTAAATCCTCACATCTAGGTCCAAGTCAATGCGGACTATCGCTTCGACCAAAAAAAAAACATGCGAACTATCGCCCGGATGCTTTCTCCACCCTTCAAGTGGTAAGGCAAAGTAATATACTGCCCTGTTTGTAGATCTTCTTAGCAGAGGTCCTAAGACATGCTATCTGCAACTATAGAGGGATTATGTATGTATATATGTATATATTATGTATGCATTTTTTTGTATTACAAGCTCTTTAACCAATAAATATAAAAAATAGGAATATGTTTCTTTATCTTCTATATCAAACGATCACAAATTTTGTATTTTTCATAAGCCAGATATGTGTAATTAAATAATTGCTTATTATTCCACTAATTTAATTAATTAGTAATGGCCTCTTTATATATTACATGAATCACTTTAACAATATTTTTTTTTATGAAATCAATGATAGATAAGCAGGAAAAATTAATTTTTCTATCCGATTGGTGTAAAATTAACGGTTTCAACGTAATTAATGTGAAAGGGAGCGGTAGGGAATGGAGGTTTTTGTGAAGATGTGCCTCAACCACAAAGTCCCATTCTACCCAACTTTCTTATTTTCTGATTTATGTCTCACGCACTTGTGATTGCGGAATGCTTTATTCAAAATGCATATAGACTAAGTTAATATATATAGCAGCAGACAAACTTAAGAGAAAGTTACAGCTACAAGTACTCAAACACAGTAAGACAACAGATTTCGGTCGAGTATTCCTCTGGTTTCGGACCGTCTCTTCTACCTTCTTCGCCTTTGTTTTCTTTTGCCAAAATTCTTCGCAAGTCTCTGAGCCCTTCTTCTTGTGATCAAGCAGTCCCCGAGGACCACTCCATTCACTAACCCACTTGCATACCCCATGCACACGATCTTCCAGTCTAATTCCATTGCAATCCCCGAATCTTGATGTTCTTCGGACGTCGGAGATGATGGAGGCGACACTTTGGGATCTCCACATTTTCTAGACAGAGGAGTGCCACATAGCCCTGGGTTTCCCTTGTAGGAGTTGTTTTCAAATGTATCAAACTGCCATGACTGAGGTATCGGCCCGGTCAGACGGTTATAAGATACGTTGAAGACCGCAAGCGAAGTGAGTTGCGTCAACTCCTGAGAGATCTTTCCAGAGAGCTGGTTTCGAGAAAGGTCCAATGCTTCCAAATTAGTCAGGTTTGCCAAGAATGGAGGCAGGGGACTGGAGAGCATGTTGTTGGAAAGGTTGAGCAATTCTAGCTGCTCTAGGCTTCCAATGGTCTCAGGGATCACTCCGCTGAAGTTGTTGCTTGAGAGATCAATCAATGTGAGGTACTCTTGGATCTTTAAGTAATTCATGTGGATGCCTTTGATAATTACCCTCATAGAGTAGTCAAAGGTTGAGGATGGAAAGAACGGCAATGCTTCCTGGATAAATTTGCCTATGTAGTCTGATTGAACTCTCTCATAAACTTTCATGGCAGTCCACTGCTTGAAGTACCCGGATGGCAAGCTACCGGACAAATTGTTCTGAGAAAGATCAATGATTTGCAGCTTAAGGCCCGTTTGGTAACGTGTCAAACAGTGAAAATTTCTATTCTTTTATTTAGGAAATAGTTTGGGAGCAATCGTTTGGTAAAGCTTTTTGTTCGGCACATTTTTGCAAAAATTTGTGCCAAAAACAGTTTTAGAAGAGAAACAAGAAATAAAAAAAAGTTGCTTCTTGTTTACGGCACGATTTTGAGAATGAGTTCTTTTTCTTTTTTTTCTTTTCTTTTCGTGTTGTTCTTCCCTGGGCTGTGGCCGGCCGCCGGCGACCGGCCATAGCCCAGGGCCGACGAGGGCATCATGGCCCTCGCCGGCGGAGGTGAGGGTGAGGGCTGGACCCTCGCCGCCTGGGCGAGGCGGCTCACCGTCGATCATGGCGAGGTCGGCCTCGCCCAGATCGAGCGAGGTCGGCTTCGCCGTGGGTCGCGACGGCGAGGCTCGGCCTCACCCGGTTAGGTGAGGCCGAGCCTCGCCGTCGCGACCCACGGTGAGGTCGGCCTCGCCGTCGCGACCCACGGCGAGGCCGGCGGTGAGAGCGGCGGCCGGGCGGCGGCGAGGGCCGCGACGCCCTAGCCTGTGGCTGGTCGCCGGCGCCGACGACCGGCCATGGCCAAAGAAGGGAAGTGTAGAAAGAAAAAAAAAAGAAAAAAAATATTAAACAATTTAAAATATTATTAATAGAAAGAAATTTTGTATAGTTACCAAACGTATTTACATTGCTTTTACATCAGGAATAGAAATTTTGGGCCGATTCTAAAACGCCGAATCTTTCGAGAAATTATTTAGAAGGCGCACAGAATCAAAAAGAATCATTTCTGAGTAAAAATAGTTTCCGGGCACAGAATAATTGTCATGCGCACCGTTAGGGAACTCAAAACCATCTCTCGGTTCCCCAACTAGTCCATGAAATCTGTTATGTCGCAATCCAAGTACCTTTAAGCCAAGAAGTGATCCCAACCACGAAGGAAAAACATCTCTAATCTGATTGTTTCCAAAACTCAGGAACTCCAAATTCTTGCATTTACGGAGTGATCTTGGCAGTGGCCACATCAATTCATTATAACTCAGATCAATCATGAGAAATGCACAGTTGTCCCCATTCAACTGAGGAATTTTCCCATTAAAGCCGTTGCTTTGTAGGCTCATTACTTCCAAAGAACCACTCAAATTACTCAAGCATCGCGGAAGCACCCCAGTCAAGTTATTATTGGACGAATCGATCATCTGAATCGAGGTTAGATTGCATATAACTGGCGATATTTCTCCGGAGAGTCTGTTGTTTGAAATGTAGTAGTACAAGATTTTGGGAGGGGGAATCGGAAGTGATCCTTGCAACTGGTTGAACCTGAGATCTGCACAGACAAGCTTTGTCCACTTGAAGGTAACGGGATCCTGCCCAAAACTAGTTAGGAAGTTACCAGAAATGTTCAAATACACCAACTCTTTTGTGCTTACATTTAAGAACCATTCGGGCACTTGACCGCTGATCTTGTTGTAGGATAGATCTAGCTGATACAGATCTTTAAATGGCTGATACAGATCTTCTTGACCACGAAGGTACTCTGGGAAACTATTTAAGTTGCATGAACCAAGACCTAGTACCCAATATCTTTTTGATATGTTGGGTTTAATCATCACCGACAAATTATTGGATGATAATTTAAGTACAAAGAGGCTTTCAATCTTCGAAAACATATCTAACTCCACTGTGCCGCTTAAATTATTTGAAGTTAGATCAAGAACGCCGAGATTCTGTAAGTGAGTGATTGTGCTTGGAATTGAGCCGTGGAAGCTATTAAATGAAAAGTCAATATAACCCAACTGCGCCAGACTACCTAACCAAGTTGGTATTTCCCCCTCTAATTCATTTGTGTCTAAAATTAAGTACTCAAGCTCTTGGAGGTTTTGGAAAGACGATGGGATTTCTCCAGTCAATCGATTGGAGGAAAGAGCTAAACTGGTAAGCTGAACAAGGTTTCGTAAGAAATATGGGATTTCTCCTGTCAATTGATTAAAGCTCAGATCCAAATAAGTAAGCTGCATGAGGCTCCGTAGAGAGGATGGAATTTCACCCATGAGTTCATTCCCTACCAAACTTAAATAGTTCAGTTTGGTAAGATTTCCTAGAAAAGATGGAATTTTACCTGTCAAATCATTACGGCCAAGATCCAAATGCTTAAGTCGCGCAAAACGTCCTAAAATTGATGGGATTTTACCGCTGAATGAATTTATACTCAGGTCTAAATGAGTAAGTAAAGTTAGATTTTCAATTGATCGGACTGAACCGAAGAATGCATTAAATGAGAGGTCTAGATGAGTGAGTTGGGTCAAGTTGCCCAGTGAAGTTGGGATGTGGCCTATGAAATTGGAGTTGGACAAATTCAATTCACGCAAAGAGCCGAGGTTTCCAATTTCAAGTGGTACCTGAGAGAAATTGAAGCCATTAAAAGCGAGGTTAAGGCTTTGTAGGTGAACTAGACTGAGGATGCTGGCGGTGCTGGAGTTGATGGAACCGGTGAGACAACTGCAACTGAGGTCGAGGCCAATCACGTGACCGCTCGCCTCATCACACTCAACACCATCCCAATCACAACAATTGCTCGTAGTTTCCCCGATTGCTTTCCAAGATTCAAGCTTCACATGCTTATCCGATGATTCATCACAACAAGGAGGCCTTTTTGTGAAAAAGGTTGCCTTGAACTCCAATAAGGCAGATCTCTCATTTGCATGGCATCGTGGTTGGGTTGAATTAAGAGAAAGAGATGCAACAACTCTTAACAGCAAAAGCAAGAACTGCAAGATTATCATGTTGGTGAAGTAAAAGGACACTTATTCTGTGGTATTCTGCAAAACTAGTTAGTGGGATAAGGATACTTCTCGACTTGGGATATACAAGAAGCCCAACGGTGAAGATACTATTGTTATATAGACAAGCTTTTTGTCTTCTCCATAATTGTTCTTTCATCATCAGTAGGGGACCACGTGACAGAAACCCCTTCAGTATGCGGGCAGATCCTAGAACGAGCAGCGAATCTCACTTCAGCTTGACTTGGACCATGAAATGGAAATGGAAATGGAAATGGAGGAAAGCAAATTGGGCCAATCTTGTCTTCTGACAATAAATGAAGCGTGTTGAATTGCATCTCTTTGCATATGACTTGTTCTTGCATAGCGCGTCTCGTGATTCAGGATTGAGCAGGAGGAAAATAGTCTGATGTGTGACTACTTGATTAGTTTACACAATCAGACAAGTCCTATATCATGGCATATCACCCTAGGTGTTCTTGAAATATTGGTACATAATCACAGCTTGTGCTGTTACCGAAGGACAGTGTATTGCTCACTTGCCATAATAATCACTGGGGCTACCTAATTATACTTCTTTCTTGCTACAAATGGAGCGTCCAGGTAGAACTTTCTAACTTGTCATAAAAAAGATGAAATCGTCACTTGCCAAGAAATTCGGTTAACGAAACATATTAATTTGTTGGGACTTACGAAGAGAATCAACAAGGTTGGTTTTTAAAGTCATTTCTAAAAACATCTGGGATGAGTTTTGGCATGGTTTATTTAAGGTTAAGTTCAAAATGTTGTATTTAGCCCTTCTTGATTTTCAGTTTGTTTTAATAATTTGTCCATCCAATATATTCATCTTCTAAAAGTCTTAAAGAAACTTGTGGCTACCGGGTGGGTTCTCTCCTTTGATCTTTTGTCTTTTTTCTTCTTCACGGTCCCACGTCAGTTTCCTGTATACAGAGACCTTCATCTTCATGCCAGCCAAAGTCATCGGCAAGATTTTTTCGTTTGCGTAAACAGCTCTTAGTGGGGACCGAGAAAAGTGCTGGGCCACACTAGAATTGATGACACTCTGAAAATTCTTCGGTGACCTTGACTTTAACATCTGCGCTTTTTTTCCTGTGATCCCAGAAAAAAAAAGCACAATACTGAAATTTTTCGTAAGGATGAGGATTGAGGGAGTGGGACCGCGTGTCAGGTTAGATTGGTCTCACGGATAGACTTTAGTGGAATCGACCTGATCTAACGATTAAGGTGCATTGATTTACATTCATTCAGTGCGTTCAAGTATAGCTTCAGTACGTAGGTACCATGCTCGCGCACTCTAAAGACTTGAAGGAAAGAAATAATAGCTCTATTCGAAGAAAGAATTGATGTGGCTAATAATATCACCTAGAGTGGGGTGGATAGGTAAATTTAAAAAATTTGGCAAAGAATTGCGGAATTAAAAGTGCCAAAAGTGACCGAATGAGACAGAGTGTGAATATGATCAGAGTTGTGATAATATTCAAATAAAGTAAATTTGAGCAAAGGGATAGAAGATTTTGCACAGAGAACTTGTAGTGGTTCAGCTTAGTGTAAACATACGTCTACTCTCCCACGCTAATAATCTATTGGTTGGATTTTACTATAATCGATGGGAAGTTACAGTGGTACACGCCGGCTAATATTCAAGCACTTCTCCACAAAATAGGTGTTGCTAATATTCAAACTGATATATCTCAATATCTCACACCTAAGCATATACTTATAACACTGTTCTCAAGAGATTACAATAATATGCTATGAGAAGACAATTTAAAGTATGTGAAGCTCTCTCGAAATTTGGAATGATGTACTCTTGATATTTCTTGCTCTTCGGCGCCTTGGTCTTCTTTTATACTTCTTAGCATCCGAACTTCCCATTCGACAATCTTCAAGGACCACTTTCCAATCTAATACAATTGTTGAGAAGATTAGGTAAACGTTGAGATTGAACAATTAGAGATCCCGTCGATTTAGTCGCCCATACAAACAAATCTTGGTTTCCAAAAGTGAATATTCTTCAACTATGGAAATAATATTGCCTTCAAGATGATTGTCCATCAACCAAAATATCCCGCATGATTGATTGTTTTGCGAAGATAAAGTTTAAGATTGATAGTCAATCACAATCTTTTAAAGTGGCAATCCATTCCAGATTACTAGCTGTAAAGAATGAGATTAAGAATCTCAAAATGATAACCTTGAAGTTTGTGACAAGAATCTCGTCGTAGGTAGAAAAGGTATTATGCTAATATTCAGCTCGTTCTGGTGATATCCAGCACATGCTGTGAGAGAAAATTTCAAATAAGGATCCGAAGTCTTTCTTATTTTGTCGAATAAGGAGCTGAAGTGGTTTATGTTCTCAAATAAGGATGCAAAGTGGTTATAACGGTTTCAAATAGAGGCCTCGCCCACGGAGGCCTCACCCATCGGCTTTCGCCGACCGCAAATTTTCCGACCGACCAAGGGCATTTTCGTCCAAAAATAATTTTAACATAAATTTTAGTTAAATTAGATTTAAAAAAAAAAAAGGGGCAGGCCTGGCAGCCAGCCCTCCCCGCCTGTGGCTGCCTCCCCATCGCCAGTGGGGCGGCGCTGGCGACAATGGCTAACGGGGTCGTCGGCTAGAGGCGAGAGGCTAGCCCTCGCCCAGGCCGGCGGGAGGTGACCCGATGTCGGGACCTTGAGTGGGAGGTGGGCGATGGCAGTCAACAGTGGGGGGCGGGTGGCAGGCGGCGGCGACCAACGGTGGGACGTGGGCGGCGAAGGACGGTAGAGGTGGCTGGTGTTGGGCGGCGACAAGAGGTGGTCGGTGTTGGGCAACGGTGGGGGGCGGGCGACAACGACCGATGGTGGGAGGCGGCCAGTGTTGGGCGGTGGCAAGAGGTGGCCCGTGTTGGGCGATGGCAGTCAACGGTGGGGGGCGGGCAGCGGCGACCAACGGTGGGAGGCAGCCTTAAGATTACACCTTAAGATATGGACTGCTTGACTCTTCCAAGGGTGGACTAGACTACAAAAGAATGAATCGAAGTCTTAAGAGTCGCGGTTCCCCTCCTAATTTCCAAGTCATTCATTAAATTTATTTTGAACTTTGTTTGGGCCGTATCGTTGGGGATGATAAGACATGGATAGAGATGTCTCTTGACTTAGAATTCTTGCACCCCAAAGAGCACGCTAGCTTAGAAAATGCAAGATACAGAATGTCATTGTTTAGGCACTTTGAAAATATACGCCCGACACCGTTTCTTCCCCAAATAAAAGCTGAAACATAAGTATATAATACTTGATTTCACCCGGTTAGTGTAGAAATTTTTTAGACTACTGCAACTGTTCTAAAATACAGTCTATATCGTCCTTCACAAGGCTGCTAGAGATCATGACGTAGTCTCGAGACTGACTGCGAAACTCGACTCCTCCGTTATAGATAACACCTCAAGATATGGACTGCTTGACTCTTCCAAGGGTGGACCGGACTACAAATGAATGAATCGAAGTCTTAAGAGTCACGGTTCCCCTCCTAATTTCCAAGTCATTCTTTAAATTTATTTTGAACTTTGTTTGGGCCGTATCATCAAGGATGATAAGACATGGACAGAGATGTCTCTTGACTTGGAATTCTTGCACCCCAAAGAGCACGCTAGCTTATAAAATGCAAGATACGGAAATGTCATTATTTAGCGCCTTATACACCTAACACCGTTTCTTCTCCCAATAAAAGCTGAAATAAAAGTATATAATATTGGATTTCACCTGGTTAGTTTAGAATTTTGTGTGACCACTGCAATTGTTTTAGAAAAGTGTCGTGAAAGATTTGAACTTAAGACTTTATGATCTGATACCATATAAAATTCTGTGAGATCAATCTCAATTATTTTAAAAGATTATTCTGTTAAACGAATGTGTGCTTTTAAAAATGTGAGGTTTGGTTAGAAAATGGGTGTAGGATCATATTAGATGTCTATATTCGTTGTGTAATATTCTATAATCTTGGATTTCTTATCTTTTTAACACTTGAATTCCGAGTGATTGCGTGCGTGCGGTCTCCTTGTCAGGCGGTGTTTCTCTCTGCAATCGAACACCTGATCAGCCAGAGACCAGATGACAAAACCCATTCAACTGGTTACCATGCCGCAGAAAGAGCCTCAGACTTTCTGTGGAGCTGCAGGTCGGCAATGATGAAAGCAATGCAGAGTGAGGATTGACTGGGCCAAACATCAGGTCATCTCTTTCGGACAAATGACATTCTTCCCACTTCACATCTCTTTCTTCGTATGAAGATGTTCCTACACCGCGAGTTCCATTGAATTTTTTGCTAAGATGGTCTGATCACAACTTCTTTACAAACTGCAAATACAAAATGGGACACCAGTTATACATATAACTACGTTCCTATATCTCCCGGCAATGGCAGTTCGCGTGCAAATGGGCAGTGATTGTAATAGTGGCGTTGACTGAGTCGATTGGGCAGAAAAAAAAAGTTGACTCGTCAACAAAAGGCAAGAAAAAGTGGACGCTATAAAGGAAAGTTAGGGCGCACAGAGACGAAGAGAGCGAGAAAAAAGGAAAAGAAGAAGAAAGGGAAAAGAAAGGCAAGTCCTATATGATGGCATATCACCTGAGGTGTTCTTGGAATACCGGAACATAATCACAGCTTATGTTGTTACCAAAGGACAGTGTATTACCGACTTGCCATAGTAATTACTGGGGCTACCTGATCATACTTCTTTCTTGCTGCATATGGAGCATCGAGGTAGAATTTTCTAACTTGTAGTAGGAAAAATGAAATTGTTGCTTGCCAAGAAATTTGGTTAACAAAACATATTAATTTGTTGGGTCTTTCGAAAAAGATGAACAAGGCTATGGGACCCTTTAGAATTGTTCGATACTGGATCTTCTTCTGAAGCGTGTACAAGCTTTATTTTAGTTCACTTACTGGATCTTGAAGTCTCTGTCTTACCACGAGAATTACTTTGATGGGATTGGTCGTTAGATAAACCTCGAGCTCCCCAGGTTC